CATCTCCTCACCTGTGTGCTCCAGCAGGAGGGATCCCGCGGCCCCTGACCGGCATGCCCCCTCGACCCCGGGCCCCGTGCTCCTGGCCTCCGTTCAGGTAGCTCATCTCCATGAACTGCTCCTGGCAGATATCATCCATCATATCCTACACACACACACACACAGGGGGAGAAAATAAAAAAGACATGAGCAAGTATGAGAAACAAGAGCATGTGACATGGGAAAAGTGAAGCCACGCAGATGAAAAAGAGAGGGAAGAAAAGCACGGAAGGAGGAATGATGAATAAAAGAGTGAGACACAATTACTGAGCAGATCAAAACAAGGCATCCCCCTAATGGCCAACAGAGCGAGTGGAAGAAAAAGTCTCAGCGCCAGTGAGTCAGAGTGTGAAGAGAGAGGGGGGTCGTGAATGTGGGAGGTTGGAAACCATCCATCCTCACTCCCCGCCTTCCTGTTCCTCTCCATCATGCACAAAATGTAAATCACTTCTGCCTGCACTTCCTGACAAGTCTGGTATGACTGCATCAGCGGTTACCTTATTCTATTTGCAAAAAACAATAAGTTGGTGGTGGATTAGCGTGGCTGCCTGTCGGAGCAGCACAAATCCAGCAACACAATCCGCCGACTTTCTTCAGGGACCAATCACAAGAGGCACATAGTGACCCAATCAATCCTTTTGCATAAATCAGTCCCTGGACTGGAGTGGTGACAGAGCACTAACAATGGTGAAAGGGAAAGGTGGATGGAATATGCAGCACATACTGCAGCTTTCAGTTTTTCTCAATGCAACACAAGCAGAAAAACAACTAATGTAATCAGTCAAATTGTTTTTGACTGATTACAAATTCATCTCCGACAGTAACCGTGTGGTTGCAGTTGCAGTTAATGAGCCAGTGAGGTGGCATATCTTCACCCATCGAGGTATTTAGATTAATGAGGTTTCTTTACACGTTACATCTTATGGACGATATTTCATTTTAAAAAAATTGTCAGTGTCGACGCATAAGAAGCTATGCAAATCATTCACACCAGAGCGAGGCTCTGTTTTTGCATTTACATTTGCAGACAAGCGGGTACACGGGCATAGAAAGGATGAGAGGGAACAGTCGTCAAAGCCTAGTGGAATACCTGAGAAGTACAGGTAATACATAAAACATTTCTCCAACAAGTCACATCCACCAATTCTCTGAGTCACTCATTAAAATATGTCCTCTTTCAAATGAGGGACATCAAGCCCAACAGATTAGAGCCTTAAATTCTACAAGTTCTGCTTTTCACATAACATGGCAGAATCAACACTGCAGCTGCTTCATCAGTCAGTTCATCCCGCCTCTGGTTTTAACTTATTCTTTCTCCTTAAGAACCATCCAGACTAATTAAAAAATGTAAGGCATCTCACAAACCCCCAGGCGAGAGCCATTGTTCCAGCACTATGGGCTTCGGCCGGGGTTTGACAGCAGATCGGGTTTGGCCCGTGCTCAAGAACCTCTCAGCATAAAACCAATAAAGCCCACATATCTGTCTCGGAGTCGTGCATCTCCTGGCTGACTCCTCTCAGTCGCTGAAGAATGAGACTCGGGTAAAGACACAGTGATGGACAGACATGCAGGCGCACCACATGATGGGGTAACCCTGCTGACACAGTGAAAGCAACCCAATTCCTCCTCTTAAGCTGATTGCTTTACGTGCCTAGACTGTGCCATGGGGTCTGTCTGCTCCAGGTGAACACCCACTCCATCTCCTCGAGATGTACCGCTGGGACCCCCTCCCAGGGCGGCGTCTAATTCACACCCTGTGACTGCTCACCTTTCTGACAGGTGACCCTTAGTCGCTAAAAACACTTCATCCAGCAGGATCCCACAAACTTATTTTAAAGCCGTACATGGCATCAATTGATAAGTCATCGAGGAGACAATTAATAAAGTAATTTGAAATTCAATCTTTTACATCATTTTTCAAGCAAACATTCCCTGATTCCAACTTCTCCTCATCTTACGTGAATCAGTCCTTTTAGGGTTTTAAGGTATTGATTGGAAAAAACTCAAGGTATTTGAAAATATCAACATTGACTTAAGGAAATTATATTACTGTAGGGTTTTTCACATGACATTTATAGACCAAACAGCTTGGGAACTAAACAGCAGGATAATGGATGAGGACATTTCAAATTGCAGTTTATATGGTCAAGCAGTCAACTCCACTCTGAACAACTCCTCTTGTCTAAAAGACATTGCTTAAGCAACCAAAAAAATGGTTGTTAGTTGCAGCTCTTGCTCAGTTCATACAGGCGAGCGGACAAATGAGAACAGACAAAAACAAGCCAACAGCAAATAGGACTCACTGGGAACAGGAACTTCTTGACCTCCTCCATGGCGTGTGCCATACGCAGGTAGGCGTCGGGCACGGGGGCGAACACCTCGATGAACACGTGCAGCTCCATGGACAAGTGTGCGTACTTGGGCTCGCCGCCTTTTCTCAGCCCCTCCTCCTGAAACAAGCGCACAGGATTTTTCCACAAGTCAAAGAGAGCACGCGGCTAACGCAACACAGATTAAACGAATGATTCAAGAACTTATCGTGTTTCATCTGCCTCAGAAGGCATCAGGCATGTGTGTTTCATTCCTTATCTTTATATAGTTTAATAATCACAAACTGGTGGAGAACAGGTTTCATGGGCTTCCCTAAAGATTCCTGGAACAGCTGCACGGAGCGTAGCTGCCCTTGGCTTTACATTTACGTTCAGCCGAGCTATCCTACGAGTTGATGCCATCTGGGCTCACTGCCTGCCATCCTTCTCAAGTACAGGCCAGATGTCTTATGGCTTTAAGTGCCTCCTAGGTTTTTAACATGTGTGTGTGTGTCTGTGTGTGTGTGTGTGTCATACCTTGGTTTTGTCTCTCATGGATCCTTTGCCCAGCACAGAGATTTTGGCTCCAGTCTCTTCCTGTAGCCGTTTGATTGTGTTGCCCTGAGGTCCCAAAATCTTCCCCACAAAATTGAACTAATAACAAGACAAAGCGGGGGGGGGGGGGGGGGGGGGGGTCAGCATGACAATCAAAGCAGAGGCCAGTGCATACTGCAGCTCTAAGGAGTAGATTTAACAAAGAAGGTCGACAGGAGCAATTAAGGGCAGTAGTACCGTCAATTACTATTTGCTACGATTATCAGAGCACTGAGCCAGAACCAGCCTGTGATCAAAAGCTGCAATCTTTACCTCCTCAATCTTTGAACAATGTAATTACTGTTTATAAGATGTGTCCTACAATTAGCTATCACTGCCAAACGCATGTAGCAAAAAAAGGCAATTCCTCCGGGAGTTGTAAAGGTGGCTTTTTGTAATCAGAGTACCCTCATTAGCTTTGTCATTCCTGACACAGAGGACTGATGCGCAAATGAAATCTAAGTCTGGGAGATCAGAGGGCTGTCTTACCAGCACAGACCAGACTCCTACATCATATTGATCTGATGCTTGGGAGGGGGCAGCATCTATAGATTTTAATCTTCTTAGAAGTGCTCGGAACAAAAGTAAAATCAAAGTCTAGAAACTTTTAACGCCAAAAAAGTAAATTGGATACTTGACGTTACACAGGTTTCAAGAAGCTGCAATAAGAACCTGACCCAATCTGATGAGAAGAAACTTAACAACATGCAGATTGAGTCAAGAGTTTGATTCCCTCACGCACACATTGTCCATCATAAATAATAAAGTGGATGAATTTACCTGACAAGACATCATCATTCTGAACAGTCTGAACAGAGGAGATCGAATCCACTGAACACAGTATGAATTACACTGAAACATAGATCCATCCTAACTATAGTGATGTTAACATTTCGATCCTTACTGTGATATTTTAAAACATATCACCTGTAATTATACGCTGCAGCTTAAAGATTGGGGTTGAGAGGAGTAATTTGAGACTCCACAGAAACCCTGTGGCTTTGTATAATTGAAACCCGGCTGCAGGATAAATTAAATCAAGAGGGGTTCACGCTGAAAAAGAGGACAGAGAAAAGAAAGACAAATGCGGGGCAGAGGAAGCTCACCTTCGGGTACTGTTTGACTGGTATGAGCACTCGTTCCTTAAGTTTGATGTTCTTTGTTGTGAAAAGGTCCAGGTATGTTTCTGCCTCCTTTTTAGTCTCGCCTTTCTGGATTCTATCAATTTCTAGAAGGAGGTAGAGGTATTGTTTCAGGCAAAGCATTCATGCAGTCTAACAGGATGCAGAGACAGCACATCATCCTCATCAGGTGGATTCATATGAGGGAAGTTAGCAGTGATTTGGGTGATTTATGGTGAAAACCATGGAGTCGTCTATGATACAATAATAGATGTTATCATTTTAGACCTCTGTTGTAATATATCCATTGCAGTTCTTTGAATATTAAACATCTTAAAAAGACGCGTCCGCTTTACTGTCCACGTTTTGCTGTTTTTAACATTATCTTGATTTCTACAAGCCGACAAATCACCAAATCAATATTAACTGAACTCCCAAACAACACTGCTCGCAGATAAATAATGAGATGATAACAGAATTTAAGCAACAAGTTTCATTTTGCAATTTTTTTGTGATCTTGGCAACACAGAACAGAGCTAGAGTTTTTTTACTCTTCTGAAAATCCATTAACCATTGCAGCAAAAAATACAAACTCTGGTTGCAGCTTGGTCCACGTGGGGATCTGTTGCTCATCTGCAACTGCTGTCATTTTTAACCGAATATCTTTTGGTTTGGAACATTTGAAGACTCATTCTGAGGTTTAAGAACTCGGGAGATGTTTTTCACCAAGTGGCCCTTCACACACACCAAAGATTGTGATAAATAATGATCAGATTAATCAATCCTACACCTTCCTGTCACGGCAGCAACTGCAACCATCTCAAACCACCTCCTCTCTCCTGGTCATGACAACCCCTGAGCCTGCAGTGTGCAAACATGTCAAATACACCGCAGTCTACCAGCTGCAGGTTTTAAGAGGAGAGAGTGTGGAGGAACCTAACTGAATGTTTAACTGAGGGAAGCCACAACACACACACCGCACACTGACACACTTTCTTACTCTCAAGTTCAGAGATATCGCACATCCTGTCACACAAACTCAATGTTTAACAGAAGGAACCGGAGATACTCTAGATGAGCAGCAGACATGCAGTAGCTGGCAGTAAATGACTCAGAGCCACTGAAAGGGCACAAGGCCAACAACACAGACATTTACTAAATATTCACTTCAAGGATTTTTATTTGTCACATGCACAGAGATACAAGGTAAAGTGCTCCTGGAGATCAACAATAAAAGACGACTTAGCACATAAATTAACAAGAAACCCCTCTCCTTCAGTTTTTAATCCATTGGACTTGGTGTCCACAGCTTGTAATCTCCTGATGCTTTGTGTATTTATAGACACGTGTGGCTGCTTTTACCCATCATCCCACAATGCCATTTACAGGAGGTAAATGTCTTGGTATTAACAGTGCTGCTCCTCTATAAATGCATTATTAATAATACTGGTACGGCATGTACAATATGCTGAATGGCACAGACAGCATTTTCTTTTTGCTACAAGTCTGCATCCTCCTGCTCACGGACACTTCAGCAGCGAGGGCCAGGGGGTCTCCGTCCCGCCGCCGCCTCGCAGCAGCACTGACCTCCGGGCCCAGGGCGCAGAAACTGGCGCACATTTACGACGCTTATACCTTACACACAATTTCATTGAATTATAAGATTTGATTATAAGCCTGCCTCCACGTTACTGAACAGATGCTCCAGAGGAAACGGAAATTAATCCGAACATCAGAAAGTGCGTCTCATCCTGTGGCGCTGCAGCTTCAGGCTGTTTACTCTTCCACATACTAGTCATTGGCATCTAACTAACTCCTGCACGTCTCTCTCTCACACACACACACACACACACACACTGATATGATCACTGTGACGTGAAGGCGCTCATCGTCAGGGTGGCCGCTGCCGGGGCAGTGAGTCCACGTCCCGTCCACCAACACATGGCGCTCAGCGCGTGGGGAGGTGTGCGTAAAGAGGTGCGCGCAGAGCCAAATGCCCTGCGAGAGTGATGGTGAAAAATAAGACACCGCGAAACAACCACTTTACCTGCGTTTAAAAGTTTCATGGCGTGCGTAAACGACGAGTCTAGACTGTCCTTCTCCGCCAGCAGCTCGGGGAGGTACTTGTCGTCGTTCTCCATTTTGAGTTTAGACACTGGGGGGGAGGTCAGTCTCGGTGCGAAGAAAAGAGAAAGCGTGAAAAAAAGCCCCAACAATGACAGAAAAAAAAGAAGTAGTCCAGTTATGTAACTACGGAGTGCCGCGTATCCTCTGTGCGGACTGCGCTGAGCATGTGGCGACCGGACGGATGTTTATTCTGCGTGATACGAGTCCGCTACTCTGCGGTGGCTTGTGGTTTCCAGAGCGGCTGGCTCCGTTGTTCTCAGCAGCGATGGCTGAATGGGACTGTGAGAACAAAAGCGGAGAGAGAGACTAGTGGGGGAATAATCATCGGAGTCAAGCCGACGGAAGTGAGCTCAGAAGGACGTAGCTGTCCGGACTGACGCCGCCTACCGTGCGCTCCGCTCTCCCGTGTGGATGCGCCGCCTCCAGTGGAGATAACCCTCACTCTGATTTACGATAGCGGTGATATGGTCACATATGGAATTTATGGTAATACGGTGGCACTATATTACACTGCTATAGGCAGTTATATCTCCCATGTGATGTCTCAATCTGTATTGGATTAGAGGTGTTGAAGATAAAAATGAACTACTAAGTTACACATGTGTTATGGTGAACAGCAAGTGAATGTGCATTATTTATTTTTTAAAAAAAAGGGATTTTTCATGTATTCATGTATTTAATAAGAGTGCAGGTAATGTCAGATTTATTGTATCACTAATACCAAGTGATTACGTTGTATTAATGTCACTATCTTCATCACAGAGTGGCTATTAATTAGAAACATATCTCAAAAGTGAAATTACTAGAATGTACATGACTGTAAACAGTATAGATAGATAGATAGGACTATACTGGACTATACCATATGCATTGAGTTGTTGTACTGCAGTGTAAGACATTTTCATAACAACTATTTTGTGTAAATGTGATAATAATGGGGACACATCTTCAGTATTTAATTTGTCATTATGATTTCAGCTCTGAATGCATTCCCTGAAGTTGTTGCACTTTCATTTCAGGTTCTTTACTGCCCCTTGGTGGCAGTGCTAATCACGACAAAGCAGTGCACTGCTGAAACAGGAACTGGGTCCACAGGAAGAAACCTGTTCTTAATGCTGCCTCCCATCTTCCTCGTGGCTTCGATTGATTCTCCAAACACTCATGTGCAAGTGAGAAGCGCAGTGAAGAGAATGTGTGGGATTGATTTCTCAGATTCGGTAATGAACCTGTCAGTGGAGCATGAGGGGTCAGAGGTCAGAGCTGGCCTCATACATACAAAGCAAGAGCAGTTCCCTGTGTATAGGGTCTATAAGCACATACAGTGGTATGCAGAATCTGCAGACGGATGCTCTTTGAACAAACAGCAAAAACTGCAGATCATTTGTCAGTTCGCCGCCGGAGTGAAAACTATTACGATCGACCGCAGGTGTACCCAGGCATGCATCTGCTCAAAACAAATGAAGGCAAAAATTGTCTGCAATAAACACTTATGGGAGGCCGAAGACCCGCTCTAACTATCAGCGTTCAGCATGATCTATCTCTGACCATTACAGTGTTATTAGTGTTGGGGGTTGCAAGGTTGTCCTGACTCTGCTTGTCATTGACAGAATGGATAGCCTGTGAGCTGAATTTCAATTGGCTCATAAAAGGAAGAGTTACTTCGCTTGGCAGGTGGAGGAGTTCCAATTCGATAGCTCGCACTCTTGCCTTCTGCTTGTGTGGACTTCCCCTGTCCCCTAACATACAGAGCCACAGTCTGGGGTAAACAGGGGCAGATGGAAGGGGGTAAACACTGGGGTTAGGCTTGTAAAAGGCACTGCAGCTGAAGATCTTTGCATCCGACCATTTTTGCACGCCCGACATAGTCCAACAAATTTTAAGGATTCTGCGTTCCCCCAGAGTTTCATCCTTGTTAGAGCAGAGGAGCCTGCAAAATGGCACATCAAGCATCATGGGACTCTGAAGGTGCACTAAAAGTCAAACAAATGAAACTGTTTTCTACTCCTTATGGCAGATTTCACTGCAATTTTTAGAAACTGCAGTATAACAAGATATAGAGTCTGCAGCCTAATCAGTGGCTCTGAGTGGCTGTACTTACACCACGGTGCTTTGACTTCAATCGGAATTCTAATATGCTCAAAAGGACAATGCTAACATGGTGGTGTTTAACAGGTATAATCATAGACTGTATATAAAGATGGACGACATTAAAAGTCATCATCAAAAGTGAAGCCAAATCATCTTGATTGATCCCTGGTCATTGGCTGCAGTACAGGATATAAACCCTGTCTCCTCCATGTTAGTGAATTGAACAAGGGCCAAACAATAAAGTCAATTTAAACATTTTGGTTTCTGTCATTTTAAGTCGGTAGTTTTTATCACAGATGCTATGAAATGATGAGACGTACTCATAATCAGTCGAGCATGTGTTTGAGAGGACCTTGTTAACGCAGCTCCACAGCACGATCAGTACTGGCTTCTGGCTCCAAATGACATCAAGAGTGCAAGATGGCTTTATGAGTATCCAGGATATCACGGCCTCACTTTTGTAGAATGGGAGGAAGTGAAGTCCCTCATCTTTGTAGGTATATTGTTTAACATGTTGACCATCTTCGTTTTGTCGGGTAGCATGCTACAATTTGCAAATTCGCACTTGACACATGTATGACTTTCATCCGACGTCAAAGTTTTTGGGACAGGTTTGATTTACTGCATTTTTTGTATCTGCCAAAGTTATTTTAGATAAATGTTTGAGCACTCAGAGCCAGACAAAAAATCTGGCATTTGATTTAAGATGTTACACTGAGATTTCCCTGTTTGTGGTTTGTGCCCTGATGCACTGATGATGGCTGATAACATTTAAGCCTATAGTGTGTGTGTGTGTGTGTGTGTGTGTGTGTGCCTGTGTGGATGTGTCTTTGTGTGTGTGTTTGTGTCCTTACCTGCCAGACGTTGCTCATGATCAATTGGATTACAGGAATATGCTTTCTCCTTTTAAATGTGTGGTCTCAGTACTGCAGCTCATCAAACTGGACCACTGACATCCTGAAATAGACTTAAAGGCAAACAGGATAACTTTGCAGCTCCTTAATCAGAATATGATATTTCTGTTTGTTACAGACGGCTTCTCAGGATTGGATGGGCCCACTAGTTTTCTTCTTAGAAGTGAGAGGACCACAAAATCATCCTCACTGCTCGACTCAATTTTATCTCCTACTGCGACTACTACTGCTTAAATGAGTAGAATCATAAAACAAATTGAACTTAGTGGGCAAGGTTTCTGTGTGTAATGATTTTTATTGGATGATGGTTTTAAAAAATCCATAAAAGAAAGACTTAGTTAGTAAAGAGTTAGTTTGCAGAGACCTTAAGGTTGAGTTTTCAGGTATTGCATTGTAATTGAAATACTTAAAGAAAATTCAATTTTGACTACTTCTTCTACTAATGACATCATTTTTGATGATTATTCTGGATACGTTAACGTTTTTACCCTGCTGATGAAGCTACAGGAAAGGCCAAGAGATCACTAAAGTCAATAGATTTGAATTCTGTGGGGATCATCTCCACAAAAAACCCTAGACATTTTACCAACCTCATTTTGGTGTTTTTGCTATATTTTCAAGAGCTCATCATTGTGAGTTGGATTCATGCTCTGGGAACAATGACAGCCTGCACAAAATATCACAGCAATTCATTTATTAAGCCTAATTGTTGAGAGATCTCAGTCTTTACTGGTGTAGTCAAAGTGGTGAACCAAGTGACCGATCCTGCCATCCTACACTGCTACTGAATATTTGTTTCTGCTCAGACATCTGACATGAAAATAAATCAAAATAATAAATAAATAAATGCATATTTACTTAATGTGATCATTTCAAGGCACAAAAAAGTGGCATCTGGATCTCTCTCATCCCTACAGTGTATTTCTGCAATCCGATATCAGTTGGCAATAGTAAACAGAAAATACAGTTCAAATGAAAGTTGTCAGCAGACAAACAAAAGGAGAATCTGAATTTGTAAGCTTAAATCCCACACACCATCAGTGGAGGGTTTTCCTGTCCTCGCACGGTTGAGAGAGATGGCTGGGTTCAGTCCGAGGGTCACACTCAGTTTAGCAGTTCTACGAGGCCAGGGAAACCTTTTTTTCCCCTTGAAAGCTTTCACAACTGTCACACTTGCTTAGGTCTGTAACACCACCCCACCCACACCCCCTTCTTACTCCATCTCCTCCTCTTCCCACACTCCTGCACTTCCTATTGCTTTCTCCCTCATCAGCCACTCAACACAGAAAACAAGCTCACCCTTCATCCCATCCCCCAGATGCTCTCTCTGTCCCAGGCATCATTATCAGTGTTGATAATCAATAATCATTTGGATTTTGATGACTATCTCTCTGGCTCTCAATGTGAACTGGAAAGTAAAGACGTTGTGTTGCAAGAGTCTGATTCCACAACTCAGAGGAGTTCTTGGAAAAGCCATTAGTGTGGGCACTTATATATTCTGCTGGTACTGCAAAAACAGGAGTTTTTGGACTCAGCTGCCAAAAACGTTCATTTACCTTCTTAATAAACCAGAAAGGTAAAAAAGAAAAACATGGCAGGTCAATAAATAAGTAATATGACATTTCAGGTTGAAAAAGTGAGAACATGCTGATAGATATGGAACAAAATATGGTGAGACTAATATAAATATAATATGAATATGCACTTGGAAGACAAGCTAACACTTTGTCATAGACTATGTTGATCGTAAGTGTCATGGTTACACACGCACATACCCACAGCATTTCCTGTTTCATGTTTTATGTCACTTCCTGTCTTACTTTGATACTCACGCTCGTCTCTGTCTCTTTAGGTAACTTCCTGTCCCGCTAATTACCGTCCCCTTTCTAATTTGCTTCAGCTGAGTCTAGTTAACTTCAGTCAGTATATATGCGTCTCCCACTGTCCTGTGCCAGTTGGTCTTGTCCGTAGCTTACCAGTGGTTTTTCCAAGTCTTGTCTCATGTTTTTTTGACCACGGTTTTCAGATTCAGCAACCCAGATATTTTAAACATAAGCAAAGACCAAACCACAGCGACAAAAAGATGGTGGCATAACACAACCAACACAACAAAACTGAGATAATGATGTTACTTAGTGTCTTGATTGATGTGTAAATTGGCGACTGTAGCCTTAACAAGTTAATAGTTATGTTTTCTCTGTAAGTGTGTTTCTGTGTTTTTCTGTGTTTGTTACTGAACACTGTTATTTAAACACTAATATTTACTGTACTTCAACATCACTTGGTGTGCACTCAATGTTCCATCAGAACCACCTGGTTCATACCTTCACACCATGATATTGTCTTATAT